ATTGAACAACATAGAACAAGTGCTAGTAACGCTGCTTTGTAAATGACAAAAAACGTAACTTTTTGTTGACTATTTACGTATTTTTTAAGATATCCTTTCATTTTATTTTTGAGGCTTTAATATTATAAAAATTAAATGTGGGTTATACCACTTTTGCGCTGATAGCCTCATTTGTACTTACTATTCAATTATTTTTGAATATAAAAAATAAAATAAATTCTCGCGATAAGTTGTGTACTAGCTAGCAATTTCTATAATCTATATATCTATAGATTCCCGTAACAAGGACTGTAAAACAAAAAAGCCAACAAAACAGGAATAAATCTAAGTTTTATGACGTCCCATTTTGTTGGACAATCATAAATTTCGCTTCCTAATGAACTGCTTTATTTATAATGGAAAATAAAAGTTAGTAGATTATTAAAGTTATTCAGATTATCGAGCTTCGTTCTTAAAATTTATTTTTGCACAATTGTTTTCTTAATACAGAAAACATTTGTGCAATAATAAATAATTCTTTGTTTATTTATTTGCGTATGAATCAAGTTTAATTACTCAAACATTTAATTAAACACAGCCCTTATCAAATTTGGGTTACTTATTCGAAAAAGAAACCTTATCTCCTTCAAACTAAGTTTAAATTCGCAATATCGAAAAGTTATATGGGATCACAAAAACCATGTCCAATAACATCATTAAAAATTTTAAGTAACTCAAAACAGCGGAGAACTACACACATGCGAGAACATAATGCGATCAGTTTGTATGCAATGCGCGGGCGCAGCACACACGACATCCATCAGCCTGTCGGCAAATCGCTCCGTGTGTGGGTCACGTAAACGCCGTAAATAACACACATAATGAGTACTAAAAACATCGCCAACATTGGATAAATTGATTGTTCTCCCTAAGTGATGTTAAAGGTTATATTATATTGTTCATACCGGATTCATGTCGGTGTTCCACAGGGCGACTATTTTGACCGTGGGCCGAGGTCACCTCCCTGGAGAACACCATTTACTTAGATGATATATCAGGACATTTCTTAGTTATGCAGGCTTCTAAAGACTTCAAATATCTTCGAAGATTTTGGTTATGCTACTCCAGTACTCAACATTTTCTTTTACATTAAAGTTAATTAATTTAGGTTAATTTAGTTTTACAAGTTCTTTCATTTATAACACAACCGATTTTAAACAAACAAATTCACAACGCATTGATATTAAAACCTTTATTAGTCTTAATTGTAACGAGCAACGATGCGTAAAAATTTAGTTGTAAATGTTGCATATTTTTCAGCATTCATAAAACCCCAGAAGCCAAAAACTTTACAACTGGTTCGATGATTCAACCTTATCTTGCTTCAAATAGGGTGAAGTATTGAATTACATATACTAAATTGCAATTTGCAGACAAATGTTCCCACAAATGAAGTTCCGCGTGTCTGGACTAGACGCGAAGGCGAAATACATTCTATTACTGGACATCGTTGCAGCCGACGACTACCGATATAAGTTCCATAACAGGTAGAACGTCAACCATTGACTGCTGGAACGCCATGCCTTTTCTCCCATCATCTTCATTTCCGTCATTGTATAGTGCCACCAACTTACAATACACAACCGAATGTTATAAAAATTTACCTAAAAAATTCTGCAACAACAAAGTTGAAATTCTTAATAACAAATATTCGTTCAACTACTGTACTTACATCATTTTATGCCTAAATTGCAACAGAATTATGTTCAAAATAATATATTACGTTGACCGCGTTTGTCGACAGTAAAGTTAATTGGTGGCACCGTACAACAACCCAGAATTCAGAATGTGCAATTCTAAATTCTTGGTTCCTAAGATGTCACAGTTGATTGCCTAGAGATGTTCATTGTCATTCTGCGTTCCGTTATACGCTTCTTTTCGTTTAGCTTGTGATTCTACCCACGCATTGCACCAGTTCCCACTCACCAATTTCGATTCGTTTCTCGATTGCGTCTAAACAATTTGTACGATGCACGCTTAATTTAAGGGCAACGACATTTTAAAAGACAAGTCAACACCGCGCGGAATCAGCCAACGATTAAGGATTCAACTCGCATCCAATGGTAATATCATTAAAATATCTTTGTCTCAAACGCCTTGGCGGTAATGTAAAAAGCGGACTCGACACCTGAGGTGAGAAATACCGATGCGACTCGTAGTTTCTACCAAATTAACAGAAATTGGGTCTAAACTCCACTCAACAATCTCGTTAGGAGATCTCCATAAAAAAAAAACAGTGAGTGATCTGTGTTGGGTGTCACTATGAGCGAGAGCGTCTCTCGGAGGCGCATCTGAACGGTGAAGATCGATAATCATTGTATTTAATCGTGTACATTGTTTAATTCCCGATGACAAGTCCGATAAGAGTCCCTCCTCTTTATGTCTGACCGATCCACGTCGAATATCAAAACCGCCGACACGCAGGTTTGGCAACATCGAGATGTGGCCGATAAACTTCGATTTAATATCCGTTAATTAATACGATTCGAGATTCCGGTCGAAATGCGACTGTGACTCAGCCGTAAACCGATATAGACGCCGACAAAGAACGTAGCCGCGCCGGTAATATGGTAATTAATTATTACAAATCTCTCGTTAAACACAAATTATTTACCAATTAATCGGGCAAAGATTCCAAAAATCGATTTATGTCGCGGACATGTCGATGGTTCGACGAAGATCGATTATGTATCGCCCAATCGTGTCTGAAGTTTTGGTGTAACACAGCATTTCCTCACGTGCGTCACGATGTCGTTGCGGCGCAAAACCGCACAATGGCCGCGTACCGCGCCATTTTAGGTTACCCGTGGCAGGAACACGGCCTTTTTGCTTGTCGCGAATACTTTGTAACACCTCATCGGATTCGCCGCTCCACCTGATTAGTGCCTTTTCCTCTCCCTCAGATACAAACATAACATGAGAAGCTCATTATGCTTTATTGTCTATAAGAGCTTGTAGACGTCCGTGAATAAAACTTAATCAGTGCGGTACGAAATCACAAGCTAAAATAACCGCGGGAGTGATAAAAAGCCAAAACTAGTCCAACGGCACGTCTGACAATCGACGTGATGTCAAATAAATGTCGCAAGAACTCTCCCAATCCATGTTTTTCTCTCGTGTTGCTTGCAGACGTATGTTTCCTGCCTACAAAGTTCGCGTCTCTGGTCTTAATAAAAAAGCAAAGTACATTTTGCTAATGGACATCGTAGCTGCCGACGATTGCAGATACAAATTCCACAACAGGTATAAAAAAAATGAGATGGAATTAAATTAAAATAAGAATGAAATAACAGTATAGTAGACGTCCACAAAGAGTCCAAAGTAAAATTTGAAATTAGATCTTATTTTAATATAATTCGTGATGAAACTGAGGAGGCAAGAAGCATGCGTATTATTTTCGTATATGTGAACCCGCTAGGGGATCTGCGTGGTTTCCTAGACCTATTATTTCGTTTGTTAGGCTGTATAACTCACCGGTATTATGTAGCATTACATTCGCTTCCAAAAATCTTTCACTTATGCCCTTAATCTGCTGAATTTTCTTTACTACCAAGATCTGTCGATGAGAAAACAAAATTTCGTCGTTTTAAACCTTATTTCCTTAAAACAATTGAACGTTTACTGCATATTTTGTTTTGCCATCCAATCAAACTGGCTGTGGTTTTTGAACGCAGATCTCTGTTCATTCACATTGTGATGGGCGCATTGTTAATTGTTGCATTATGTGCTAAACCGCTTTTTATGATCCTTTTGAACATCCTTAACACTGCATGAGAGTTGTTTTAGCAACGACTTATTAGCTGTTACCGGACCTTGATTCTATTCAATGTCATAATTTTGTTTAACCTACAGGTAACATACCAACAAAATTACATTAGATATATATCATCATTAGCAAGTTTTGAGTACATTTCATGTACGTATTTCTCTAGTTAATTATGATGAGCGTTGAAACAAGGTCCTTTAATGTTATTGTAGCTTTTTATAATCTAAGTAGCTTAAATAATTATATACCATTAAAACAATATTTCCACGCATTAATAAATTTCTGAGTGACTCGAAAACATTAACTTTAATATCGATCAAAGTAATTATTAATTTAAAGCAACCACCTGCTTCAACCGTGTTCTTTGTATAATTAAAATTTCTTATAATTTCTTTCACACCGTTGGCAACGGTAACCTTGAGAAACACAGCTCATATTTATTAATTTTAGGTAACATTTATTGGCTTTCAACCTTGTTAATATTGTTTATAATTTTATTGTTCGACAAAATTGCTAACACAAAATAATTACAATCGAACTTTACAACTATTTTATCATTATTACTTTAATAACGATTTATACATAACAAATATGTTCTTGCTTACTCATCTTAGTATGCAGTACTGCATGAATTAACATTATAAACATTTTCTAACATTTCTATCAAAAAATGTTTTGAGCCACCGTGAGAAAATATTTCACTTTTTAAATCGTGATTCGTTCATATTAGTTTAAGCATTTTCTAACTTGTCTAAACACCTTAGACGTACCTTCTAGCACAGTGAAATACGTTCTCAAACACATGGCGTTTGGTTAATTTTCCTTTTCTTTCCCGGAGCCGATGGATGGTAGCCGGCAAAGCAGATCCAGAGATGCCGAAACGCATGTATATTCACCCTGATTCGCCGTCTACAGGCGAGCAATGGATGCAGAAGGTCGTCTCCTTCCACAAACTCAAATTGACCAACAACATCAGTGACAAACACGGATTCGTGAGTACCGACTTCTTTTGACACACATTTGAGACTGGTTAGTGTTTCTGATAAAATTGTTTATTTTTTATCGTGAAATATTTCATGCAAGATTGTACTAAAACACCATAATAATTTTAAAGTTATAAGCCCATCAAATACCAGAAAATAAATAAAATCTAAACGCACAGACACTAAATCAGTTTTTAAAGTAACTTTGTAAAACAAACAAATGTTACTTTAAATTCATCATTGACCGGTCTCAAAATTTGCTTCTTTTACTTATTATTATTTTGTTTTTATTTACTTACTCAATCGTTTTGTCATTTTGTTTGCATATTTACAAAAACAACAATTGATTAAACATTTAACAATAACCACCTCGAACAATGGTTATCCATGTCAAAATTTGGATTCCGCAAAAAACAGTCCCAAAAAGTAGCAGTCCGTCGTGTATACTTATTTTTTGCTGGACGCAAAAAGTTTATAATGTGGGTGATATTATAATTAAAAAGAGGATCGTGGGTAGAACCCCTGTCGACGACCACGGGGGGGCATTGTGCCTGTTACGGTTATTACGGCTATTTACTTTGGGCACCCATCGTCCGCTGAGCATTAGCAGTAGTTTTCAATAGATTATCGTTACCTTTCAACGTATCTTTGAGTTCAACACAGCTACTATTATTATTTTTTTCCTATTCATATTTTAAACACCTGTCATAGCATCTGGAAACTTTACAGCCTTTCGCTTATGCATGTACAGCTTAAATAATTCATCAAAGTATCGCTCAGGGCATTATTCTGGGACCGCCGTTATTTATCATACAATAATATAGCTTACTTTCGTCATAATATTTAGATTATATGAACTCGTTTATTGAAATTATTGGTTCTAAAGAAATAATTACACCTGTCCACCATTTGAGCATTCGAAACGTTCCATTTTACGAGACGAGACCCACCCGAAATTCAATTTCAAATTGGCTATTGCAAAAAAGTTCTAAATCCAGTTTCAATTTCTAAAAACGCTACCGAAAACGAAAGTCGGATCTTTAACGTATCATAATACACTTGAACGCATTTACACGACCGCGATCCAATCATAGATAAGACGATTGTCTTTTTTCCTTATTTTAATTCGATGGCGTTTGTTTTTTGTTTTTTTTTGTGTCAGGTCTTTTGTCTTTGACGAGGGACGGTGGTAATTGAAATAACGACGACGGTCGCCGCGCGGTATGCATAGAATTTTGACAACACCTGACTTGGTGTGGTTGTTTAATTTAAATTTTAATGTTGCTATATTTTACTTTCGCCCTTCACAAACATTTTGTTCTTACACTTAAGGAATATCATTAGGCTTACACGTAAAGCAATGTTTGTTTAGGTATTTGATTGCCGCATTCTCCACAGTTAATTTAATGAAATAAGAAATGTTTTGAACGACACATATTGATTAAACTATTCTGCCTTCCACGTCATAACTAACGCATATGCATTTTAGCAACTTTCGATGTATTATTAGGATTGTAGGTCTCGTTTCGCTGATTCCAAATAATATATTATAACTTCATTTCGTTGGAAATGTCGATTACTTTAGCTATGATAAGAATGACACTATTGGTACTGAAATATTACTTAATCTTTAGTACCTTTGTCACCATTCCATGCTTTTTTTTTATTTTTATGAACATTTAAATTATTCATACTTTTTTTTTATGACATCGAGTGACGGGACGAACAAGTCGTGCGCCTGATGGTAAGCTGTGTAAGTTTGATGTTAAGTAGTTCATTTATGTTATAAATACTTAGATTCCATATGTTTTATACAGAAACGTTCATTGTACTTTAATCAGCCGTTTTTAAAAATACCTTTATTTTCTCTTTTAACTTAGTAGAAAAAAAAATTATTACTGCATATAAAAGGCGTAACTAATTTAAATGTGCCTTTTAGTGCTCGACTCTTGAATATAACTTCTTTTTTATTTTTGTAACACCATGTGACGGGCCGAAAAAGTCGTGCGACACACCTATCCATAACAGTTACAGTGGCACTCAGAGCTTTAAATTGCAAAGATCTGCGGAGCAAAACCACTGTGCCCGTCACCCTGAGACATAAGTTGACAAGTCCCATGTGCCTGTAATTTCACCAGCACTATTTCTGTTGTGAAGGGTAAGCCCTTCACAACAGAAATAGGTAAGGTGGCAGTACTCCCCTGGACGAACTCTTTCACAAGGAGCTCTACTGCTACTAAAACTTATCATAAGTATCATGTCTATTTAGTTAACGAATGCTCAAAAGTTAGAAACCAGCTTCAGTGTAGTAACAGGTAGTAAAGACGCGGCGATAGTCATTTTGTTATTTTTTTTGTTTTTTTGCCCCAACATCTCGATTTTTGACCGTCCGCCGATATTTCATATAGATCTTTGTCTCAGGTGGTTAACAACGATTAATTTTGTTCTTTTGACTTAGTATTATGATTATGGGCATTGTTTTTCTAGTTTGTGTATCTCTGTCTGTAAGCAAATGTTGATGCGAAATAAAAAACAAACTAGAAATAAATTTTTGTTATATTCATGGCGAATGCATTGGAGCATTTTTGGCCAACTTGAAAAAAGGAGGAGGTTCTCAATTTGCTTATATTTTTTTTGTATGTATGTTACGCGGTTTTTCCTGTATTTGTGAACCGATTTTGATGATTCTTTTTTTGTTGGAAATAAGGTACCTGAGTATTGGTCCCATTTAAATTTGAAGAAATTATCCCACTTCTAAGGGCAGCAAACTAGGGGATGAATTCGGTGTCACGCACTTTCCGGTAACCGATATTTCAATAAAACTTGGCAAATAGTTGTAATTACACGACCTTTAGATTCGGTCGATTTTTTTTACATAAAAATTTCACGTGAATTTTCGTCAGGATGATTATTATCTCACTCAAAATGCAGCAAAATGTACAAACAGAATGTCTGAGGAAGGTGGTCGACAACGGCACAAGACCGCTAGAGTTGGCATGCTCAGCTTATGTCCAACAGTGGATGCGTATCTACACTCTGACACAATGAAATTGAAATCATTTTTTAAGTAGTAAGTACTACTTATGTCGTCAGTACTAGTATATAACAAGGCAGGCAAGGCAAGGCAAGGCAGTATTGCCTTGATGAAAATTTGTTCCCGCACAATATATCTTTCCACCAATTCCTTCGAGATATCTTCTGATATCTTTAACGAATTCTGAATGATTTAGATTGATTCAATCTATGAACGCCAAGCACTAATTCATTCAGCGTTTATCTAAAAGCATTCAGTCCCTCTGTGGACGGTTGGAGGCAGTAAAAATTAAATAAAACTAAGGTTTAAAGCTGCTGTCGGGCCGTGAATCAAACGTCGCCGACAAGAGTATATTGCCCGCAATCCGCATTATTTATAATGCCCTTAAAGTAAGGGATACAAAACAGGGCTGGTGATGAGTAGGTGTAGAATTTTTAGAGCCGAAAGTGACCCTTTATTCCCCACTTTTTGTTATGTACACTAAAATACTAATTCGAATGTCTGTAGTTGACCTTTTCTGGCAAATGTTTAGACATATCACACAGGTGTTTCTATATTTAGAAAAACGAGAAATTTCTTGACGTAGAACGTTATCTGAAAGATAAATATAGTAGGTACACAAATAAGGAACTAATTTATTAAAAAAGTGTCATATGCACTATACAGTGCCTTTGCCTACAATACCTTAACGTGTTTGTAGGTTAGTGGCTACAGTCGCCATCTTTCACAAGTATCGTCATTCGTTTTAGACGACATAACAATCAAAAAGGAATTGTAAAATGTTAAATCGACTGTTTTTTTTCTCATTTGATCTTACTTCATCTAATAATAAGATATGAAACTATTGTTTCAGATCTAAATTGCGTTTTATTTTTTCAAACAAACCAACGTTTTGGGTCCTTTACAGGTCCCATAGTCACGGCTGGCGACTTGGTTTGTTTGAAAAAATAAATCGGAAATAATAGTTTCATTTCCTATGTGTAATTATCGCAAAAACGTAAGAATTCGATAATCTAACAATGTTCCAAGTAATGCTCTTAATAACCGGTTCAAGTTACAAAAATTTGTACACTTTTTGTCGCGGTCGCTTTTGTGATTGCTTTGAATCGGCATCTCGTCATTTACGATGACATATTCAAGTCTTTAACGGTCCCTCGGAGCGTTTAATAAAGTTATTGCTATAATATATCATTCATCCATATATTTTATGCCTGTGTTAATCACATTTACCTACATAGCGCGAGCAAATTTTATGATCGTTCAACTGGTTCCAGAGAAAGTAAAGACATCAAAGTAAAATTAACAGAGTGGCGTATCAATAATAAGAAATAAACATGTTGTTATAGGAACGAAATCGCTACATCACAAGCACCCGTTTTTATGAATCAAAATATATTGAAGATACATACAATAAGAATGAATCGCTGTAGGGGGATACTGAGTTTGTAATTCGTCAACGATAGCAAAAAGCTGGACCGTTTTAATTGTAAAGGGCTTATCCCTAACTGGAGTCCTTCGAGCATCTAATTCGCTCCAAGTAGGTAGCTCATTGTGGCTATATCTTTCCATTCCTTAATACATCTGCTCGATCTTTTAAAAAAATGCCCATTAGCATTTTCGTCGATTTTTATCATTTTCCTCATTAACATATAAACTTTTTCACCTTTAAACTTGAAATTTTTATTGTGAACTTGGACTGCTTTCCGAATATTTCGCAACACAAAATTCTTTCCCAAAGTTTCTTACGCAAGGAAGTTACGTTCTTCGATAAATAAATACAAATAGGTAGATACAAAGGCCGGCAAACCGGTGCGCTTGCTTGAGCAGGAAAGGGCATATGCTCCGTAATTTATATACAGTTATTGATCAAAAGGTGATGTCTTTTGGGAGGCATCGAGGCGTCCTTCTGATCGGTGGGCCCCTCGCAAATTGCAGCCTATTTAACTGGGGCGATAAAATCTTAGAGGCGATCTGT